TGGTTAGACACAGGAACATACGGGCATACCACATCCCTAAACATCTACCACTGTAACAATGAAACTGACACACTGGCTTCAATAGGATGACTGGAAAATGCATCAGCAGAAGACACTGCCTGCTGGCTACAACAAAAACTTCGATGTGCAGGAAAGAGGACCATGTTGAGTCCCCATGGCTAAAGCATGGGGACTGTCCATACAGTTGGGTATTGTCCAAGCATGTCAGGAATGTGACACTTGCTCATGAATGTGACCAAGACCTCTGCTGGAAACAACTACCCATCTCACTAGAGGACACAAATCTTTACAGTGGTGGCAGACTGAATATAGGTTCCCTTCCTTGATCTGAAGAGGCCCGATGCACTCTAACATGTGTCAATACAGCAACTGGACTAATGCAAGCCTATCTTGTACCAAAGGAAAACCAAGTGTATACTGTTAAAGAACTAAGCTGATATATCATACAGGACTCCACAAGTCATCAAGAGTGATGCATATTTTATGGATGCAGCTGTTCAGAAATGGGCCAAAGATAACAACATCAAATGGCAGTGTTTTCTGCAATAGAATCCAAAGGGAGCGGGCCTAATAGAAAGATAGAGCAGGATCCTGAAGGCACGTTCACAGTCCATGTGGAGGTGGACCAAAAGGCTTTTTGACACCCTGTGGGACTTGAATAAGATACCAAGGGACACCAGACCCAGTACCTTAAGAATGTTGCAGACAACTTGCGCTTCCCTGTTCACAGGTAAAGACACCTCACTCAAGCAGCAAAATGGCACCATGAATAATCTTCTGCTCCCTGCCCTGGATGACCTAGAATGCAGAGAACATAAGGGAAAATGGCCTTGGAAGGTACAAGTAGAACTGAAATGGTATGGCCTACTTGCACCTTGGGGGAGATTGTTGAAGGCTGGGGGTTCAGTAAACCCTCCTGTAGTCGGCACATTGCTAGAAGAGATAAAAGTTGATACCCTAGTTTTCATTGCAAAGGGAATACTGATCATGACCAAGTGGCAAATTAGTATCTCTCACCCTTTGGTACCCATATGGTGGTCCAGCCACAGATATCAGGCCAAAGGGTGTGGTACCAAAAGCCATAACATGCCCCAGTGCAAGGAGAGACATTGACAGAAACATGGCCTGTATCCAACTAGGGAGGACAGACCTACCCCTCCTCGTTGTACCAATTAAACTCTGTAGGGAGTCTGTATAGAGTACTACTCCCGTGGTTAAATTCCCAGGACCATTGGTGTGAGTAACATCACTCTGACATGCTCCTGTGTCCGTGAGTCATCATCATGACATCTGGTGGTGAGCTGTCAAACTTTCGGGAACCAGTAAATGCGAACCTGAACTGTTACTGGTTCTTGAAGAAGATATACGTCCTGAAGGAACACCAAGTACTGGCCCAACAAAATCACAAAAGATAGTTAGAAATCATCTACAGTGCCTTGATATTCTACATCATGATGGGTATTGTACATGCATTGTGATGTACGTATATTTTGGATCACAAAAGAGTAGGAGTTTATCCCCAACCTTTTCAATCATTGGTTCCTGCTGTGAGAGTGGAGTGCGTGAGAATTGCCAGGTCACAACCTTAACCAGTGGTTGAGCACAAAGGAGAGAAGACATGGATAACCCAGGGAGTTAAGGTCCAAGCAGTGCACCTGAGTGCCTGGAAGGCGGGGACCTTGGGTCCACCCCTCCTCATCCTTATGAGGGTTAGCAGATGAGGGAGTGACATCTCTAGATAGAGATCACATTCTCCTTGAGCTGTCAATGATCATCAGAAAGAGTGAGCTACTTTTTGTTCTTTATCACCTTCCATTGCTCCATAGTACTTCTATCTCTGTAGCAAGAACTGCCATAGCATTCCATTCCTCCACAAATGTTCTAGAAACAAGTGCCAGACTACTGTCTTGTACTTCGATAGAACGCTTCAGTGTAGCATTTTAAAGGGCTGTTTAGAAAATTTTGCAGAGGAAACAACAACATTTAATATATCATTTAATTTAAAGGTGGCCAAGCATGGTACAAAGATATAAGAGATGTATATATATTTGAACTGACAAAGACAGGGACATAGACTTTGGGCAATTTTTTCTTACACATTTTTCTCAGCTTTTCTTTGATGTTTCTGGCAGATATGTTCTTCTCTTTGTATAGTTAATTAATCAATTCTATGTCCTGTCAACAGGTAATAATTCTGCTTCTGGGGCAGTTTAGAGAAATGTTTGACCTTTTAGATGTTTATCTAAACTTAAGCTCTACATAAACGTTTTGCTGTTTGCCCACTATTAAGAGTGACACACTCTTAAACTCAGTTTTCTACTCTTACTGACTGTACTTTTAGCATCTATTTAGCAGCATGAAATTACCTTCTCGTTTCACACAGCTGGAACACTTATTAGCATAACCAGTGACAAGGACAGGTTAAAAGTGGCTGTATTGAGAACATGTGTTATTTACAACTACGCAACTGCCAGTAGAAAAGGAATACTGCTTGTAATGCTGAATGTGCTAATCATGCAGGAATTTGCAAGCATGTAACTTCTGTACTTTAAATGGGCCTCACACGGACCTCTTTAATTATGCAAATTTTAGCACATTAATAAATCACAAGAATACAAGTTCAGTATGTTGGGTTGCACAGTATTCAATAAAACTCATCTTTCACAACACTAGTCACAATGACAGCTCAAGGAATAATGATGGAGCCCAGTGAATTAAAAAAAAAAAAAAAAAAGCATTCATACCATTATTTCTCCTTTTTTAAAAAATAATTATTTGATATCAATGATACATCTTAACATCTTTTTTAGTCTACACTTAAACATGGCTTCCTATGTATGCTTGAAATCTTGTGTTCACAGATACAGCCATTTATATATACCTCTGTGAATAATCTGCAATCACATTCAGTTATTTAAGCATATAGAAATTAGATTTCCAAGGGAATCAGAACTACGTCTGTCCCATTGGAGTTACTAAGCATTGCAATATTTATTTCAAGGTTACATGAGTTAATCTACTTAGTATACTGGAAATCCTATCCAGATTCATCCTGGGGTAGATATATTTTTTACTTTCTGTGTTTCTTGGCTTGGAGAGTGGTAATAACTAACGATAATCAGTTATTTTATGTACGTTTGGCTACCAATGCCCATACTTGTAATAGAAATACACAATCAAGATCTGTTGAGAACTTTACTTCATAGTTTCAAAATGATACACAGCAAAAGGAGGTGTCTGCACTATCCTCTTTTGTCTCCTGTAGGTTTCTGGAAGTATAAACACACATATTCACAAACAACACAGTTCAAAGGACAGAACTATAAGGGGAATCTACTTGGTGCCTGAGGCTAAGTTCATAGCTGTCAGTGTATGGTGTAGCCAAGTACAAGATGGTGGTAACCAAGTCAGGTGGGCCAGGAACACCCTCAGCAGTGTCCCTGTTCAGCTTTTGCTCACACCCACTATACCCACACAGAATTTCTGCCAGTATAAACACTAATTGGTGCATGACATGTGCTACTCATATTTCACTGTCACCCCAACAAAGGCCCTTTAGCACTTCAGGCAAAAATAAGGACAATCTCTGTATACAAAGGGAATGTGACAAAGGGGGAAATCACTGCACCCCATACCAGCATAGGAAGATGGTAACAGCACTTATGGTGCAGAACAAACATGCTGTATTCCATTAGGAGTTCAAATAATGCACTTCTGTATTTTACAGGCATCACCTTACCTACTCATCTCATTAAAACAAATGAATAATGTGATCTGACAAGATCTTGCATGACCATCTCACACTCCTGCCCAGTCAGGGTCTCCCTCAAGTCAAAAACCTTTTCAGCTTTTCAGAGCTTGTCCATGAACTGCTCTGCAGCCAGTCAACATTTGTTCTGCTGCAGTGGGATATGCACTACAATGCCTTGCCAGCTTTCCCCTTACACCTAGAGAATGAGGCGGTCTGAGAGCACAAACTAACAGTGCCCTTCACTCCAAGGGTCTGGATGAACACAAACTTGAAACAGTGCAGCTCAAGGTGACACTTTCATGTGGCCCCCATACTTTTATTTACCTACTGGTGTTCATCTGAAAGAAGAAGCAATGAAAAAACAGGAAAGGTGTTAGGGTGAGGGGTGACACCTCTAAGGCTCTACAGTTAAACGGAGGAGAAGGGAGGGGGGAAGGGAGACACTGGCAAAAGAACTATGGAGGGGAAGTGGAACAACTTGCTTCCCTATTGTGTGAGATCTCCTAATGGTGTGGCCTGGCTTGTCTGACTGGTGCAGTGAGCAGATCGAAAACCCTTGTGAATCACAGACTGCCCTGGAGCTGGCAGAGGCTTTCAAAGTACCCCATAGCTCATTAGGCAAGCTTGCAGTCTAATCGTTTTGTGCCATGCTATTAGATTCAGGTCTAGGACACTGTGTTGCATAATGAGCGTGTTTCAACAATTAAAGACTGCCTGTTTTGATCCCAGAATGCCTAAATTTCCTACTCTCCAAGCAGTCAGCTCCCTCTGCCTCTCTCTGGTCTGCGGTGCATTATCTGTGTGCAATCAATAAGTTCAGTGAGAGCTGACAGCTTTGATGAAAAGCAAGGCAGAGTAGAGCATGAACCTGACTTGAGTGATGTGTTGCCTTGCTTGAGGAAAGTGCCGTACCCTGCCATGCTTCCTGTCTCTCCCATTCCCAGAGCTAACAGCTGCTAGCTTCTCTAAAAACCTTTCCTTTCACACACATCAGTGAAAATGAGAGACAGATTATCCCTCCTGTGGGCCAGAATGGCTACCAGTCCTGAAAGAGCTTTACAGAAATGCTACCTATAGAGAATCGATTAATGACTTTATATTTACAAAAGATAAGGAAAATATTCAATTGAAAAAAAAGGAAGTCCCCATTTTTTAGTTTGAGAAAATCATAAGGTTCTCATTTCAAGTTACGTTTCAAGAGACATTTTTTGATTGCTTAGCACCTCACCTTCCAAACCAAAAAGAAAAGGGTATTTGCAGAGCCTTCTTCCTTGAAGTGCCTGCAATTGTTGGTAAATCTGGGTCTCAGTTTCATGGCTCAGACTTCTGAATAGAGCTGTAACACAAAAATAACAGAGACATTCACATCTTTCTGACTTGGCTGGTTTTGATTCCTCAGTGTGTAATTGAGGAAGGTGGGGAGGGGAAGTTTGAGGTTAACTGAATAAGTACTTTCAAAATTAGTACACGGTAGGGAAGAGAGGGAGAGAAAAGTTCACCATAGTTTCAATGACTTTTGCCTCATTTTATGCCAAAAACTTCCTTTGAAATGCCTTGGCCTTGACAGTTCTGATTGTCTTATTCCTTAGACCTGCACAAGACATAGAGCCAATGATTGATTTTATGGGGTTTTTAAGTGATTGTCTGAAATCACTTAAGCTTTGAAATTCAAAATCTGTAGCACGCTGTAAGAACAAACATATTCATGGCTGCTGCATCCTGAAGCACATTCATTGGCAAGAAAATAGTTGGGGTAGGGAAGAATTTGGGCTGGTTTAAATGCATATCATATCACTGCTAAAACAGATATTTCCGTATTTCTCACATTATAGTAAATTGGTGTGTTCTCATTTTCTGGAAGAAAATACTTTGAGTACAAATTTTTACTGTATTTTAATGTATTCAGCTCAGGTATATTGTGATCTAACTACTATCAAGTACATTGGTATGGTACGCCTTTAAATCTTTAACTAGTTATACTGTACCCTACCCCAATTTTTTAGAATTTCCTAGTTCATCATCCTTCATTTCTTCTTTTCACCCTCCCACATCTGTCCTTGATTAGGTATTTTATCTTATGACTAACTCAAAGGTCCTGGTCCAGATTCCACTGGCCAAAGGCCTTATCAAAATATATTGCTTTATTGAAGAAGTGCATAAACAGACTGTGAACTTTATTACAGTTCCTGAACCAAACTAAAATGCAAGCACCCAAAAGGGACTGGACAACTGTATGAGTAACAAAAGGAACCAGGAGGGATACAGTGAAAGCCGAAAAGCTTAGGAAGTACTATGAAGTCACATGATTTAGTGCTTAACCTACTCATGATAAGCATAAAATCCATTTATCACACTTCTAGTTGAAGGTTTCCATCCCCTGAGACATCTTTAACATAGTGTTGTGACTTTCACAGAGAGAAAATCATTTATAGAAATGGTCTGACAGCTCTCTAGGTTCCTCCAGTGGTGGAAGGTCCCTCATTGACATCCACCAGTTACAGCAGATAAGGCTAAGAGTAAAAGAAATATGAGACATTTGGCTGCTGATATCTGTCAGCCAACGTTGATCATATTAACAGGAAACAAATTCAACAGCTGGGGTAATATTTTCTTTCTGACCATTTAGAGCACTTTTGCGCCACAATTTTTACAGTATTTCATCTCTACTTAGAACCTTCCTATCTCTTACCTTCTTATTCACAGCACCATTTACAATTCATCCGTCAATCTAGAACAAAAGAAAGCATTAGTTCACAAATATATTTTCAAGACCATATGCAAAATGATGTATGACCACATAGTTCTTATGTAGAATGAAGATTGTTACACATACAGTTAGTGGAAATGCTTACCAACAAACTTTCAATAATCCTGGCTAATCAGGGAGGTCTCCGTTTATTAGAGGTTGGCAAACATGACACCACTTAAAAGAGAGGCAGAAAGGGGGATCCTGCAGGTTACAGACCTCTCAGTCTGACCTCAGGGCCAAGGAATGTCATGGAGCAGAACATCTTGAGCAGACCACATTCAGGACAATCAAGTGATCAGCCTCATTTAGCATGAGTTTATGGAAGGCAGGTCCTGCCTCATTCTGTGGCAAGGTGACCTACTTAGTGGCCAAGGGAAAGGCTGAGAACACTGTTTGCTTGGACCTAACAAGGCGTCTTACAGCCTTCTGGAGAAACCAGCAGCTTAAGTCTTGAAGAGATGTACTGTTTGCTGGGTTAAAAACTGAATGAATGGCCAGGCCTTAAGGGTTGTTTTGAACTTAATTAAATCCACTTGGTGTCAAATTAGCAGCAGTACTCCCCAAGGCTCAGTACTGTGGCTAGTTCTCTTGAACATTCTTATCAACAACACTGATGAGGGAATTAAGTGTACACTCAGTAACCATGAAAATGACACTACGTTTCACGGTGATTGTTGATCTGCCTAAGAGCAGGAAGGCTCTGTAGAGGTTTCTGGATAGGCTGAGTTGATAGGCTATATCCAGTCATACGGCATTTAACAAGGTTTCACTTGAGAAAGCTGCCAAGCAGAAAACCGCTGGTGCTGGTCAATAGCCAGCTGAACACATCTCAGCAGTGTGTCCAGGAGGCCAAGAAGGTCAACAGCATCCTAGCTTTTATCAGAAATAAATGGTCTGCTGGCCCAGGGAAAAGTTGTCCCTCTGTAATCCACACTGCTGAGGCCTCGCACTTCAAGTACTCTGTTCAGTTCTGGGCCCCTCACTACAGGGATGTGTTCTTGCTCAAACACACAGAGAAGAGCAACAAAGTTCATGAAGGGAGTAGAAAATAAGACATATGAGGAGCACCTGAGGGAACTGGGGCTGTTTAGTCTGGAGTAGAGGAGGCTGAGTGGAGACCTCACCATTCTCTAGTAATTCCTGAAAGAAGATTTTGATGAGGAGGGTATTGGCCTCTTTTCTCAGGTGACAAGTGATAGGACATTGGGCAACAGTCTCAAGTTACTCCAGAGAGGTTTAGATTAGATATCAGGAAGAATTTCATCATGGAAAGAGTAGTTAGGCTATGGAATACGCTGTACAGGGAGCTGGTAGAGTCATCATCCCTGGAATTACTTAAGGGCCATGTGAATGTGGAGACCACTTAGAGACCACACACACACTGAGACTTAACTCTACACAACAACCCAACTGAAAAGTTTAGTTTGCATATACTTCAATTTTCTAACTTCTCCTCATCAGATTTCCAAAATACTATCACATATTCTATCATCCATAGCAACAATGTTATTTATAAAATAAGACATGTATTAAAGTCTTCCTCTGCTCACCCACCCTGTCTCCAAGGGTGGTTTCCCTTCTTGTACATTCCATGCTAAGCAAAGGAAAAAAATGGTCTTATGCCCCCAGTAGTAACTAATGCATGCAAAATTTTCAGATTTTGATTGGCAGGTTTTTTTCCAAAGCTTGAATTTTATCATTAGGATAGAGGTAGTTCCTATGCTTCTGTGGAAACAAATTACTATTTAGAACTGAGAGATCTTCTAGGGTATTCAATTTGTTTATTTATTTATTTATTTATTTTTACACATAGCTGTCAAATCTCTCAATAACTCCACTAGATCATTCTCAGACATTTGCTGTTGTTCCCTTTCAGCCCTTTAGCAGAAGACAAAATATCATGTTTTCCCCATTATCTTTAAAAAAATATAAAATTTTGAACAAAAGTCAATCTCCATAGCCTAGAAAAATTTGCATATGAATGTTCAATATTCATTCCGTGCTATGCCCCAATCCATCTTAAATTCAGCCAGTTTGACTTTATCCCACAGTGCCACAATGAATTCTCTCAATATAGGCAAGTGTACACGTATAGAGTACTGGGCCGCTCTTTATTATCTTTTTTTTACATCACCAGAAACTAAAGAACAAAAAATTCTTTCACACAATATCTTAACTGCAGAATCATCCAAATCACATTTTGAAAGCACCAAATAAATACAGTACACTAATAATATGGAAACAACTACCGCAAAGACATAAAGGACTTCTTAAATTACCTAGTCTAGGTAAAGTAATGTTTACACAAAAAAGTGACAGATAAAATGGGCAATAGACTGCTTAGAGAAACAAAGATTTCCTAATTCTTCAGCCTGTTGTCAGATAGTGCAGCTGGAAAGAACAGGAAAGATGGTATGTAAAATCCCCTGTCAGGATGGTTTTCAAGACTGAAGATTAGAGCTCTAGGATTAAACAACCACAAACTCCAATACTTGAGCATAGCAAGCCAGATCTGAGTTTGGAGCAGGATTGCCATGTAACTGGGATGAAAGAGAAAAAAGTATATCTCAAAAATGTATATTAAGAAAACTGAAAGGGTCTAATTCCTTGGCGTTCCATTCAAGCCGTGAATTTTGTAAAAACTTCAAGAACCCTATCTACTTGCTGCTGCTCTAGCCCATCTCCACATTTGCTAATGAGCTGTTGAAAGTATTTGCAACACTTACTCTCTGTTTCTCTCCAGGACAATATTGACATATCTATCTCTTGCCAATCTGCTGCCTGTATTTTTTGAGCCTTTGGGGGCTTTGCTTTTATTCCTTTGACCTGAGACTCCAGAGCTTGTAGGAATGCATGAACAGTAGTAAAATGTGAAGTCAAGCAGTTGCGTATTTCCTTTGCTAAATACATGTCCTCTAGCAACATTTTTGAAATTACACTTTCAGTAAAATTGAATTATGGTGAAAACTTATGAAAGAGCTACTCATGAGACTAAGAGATAACATGGCCAGACACGAACCAAAAAATACTGGTAGTCTCTAGAGCTACTCAAAGAACGTCTTGCCACTTACAAATACTTAAAAGGTTTGTTGCAGACAACAAACATGTTGGCTGGTTTCATGTCACAACCAGCCAACGTGACAACTCAGATTCATGCAGACCCTAAGCTTTCTGACCATTTTTTCAGGTGTTTTGCCATGTCACTGAGTGACAAGTTATTTATGCTAGACAATGCACTTTTGCTGTCAGCTGTGTCACATTCATCATGATCTTTCATCTTTATTTCAACAGACTATCAATACCAAAGAGAATTTTCCAGACTCAGTGCAAAAGAGAGGGGATAACTAGGGCAAAATCCTTAGAGCAAATCCAAAGGGTCTGCTCAGAATCAGTGGAGAACACCAGCCCTAAAAGCTAGCATGGGAGGAAGGAACTAGTTTTAGAGTAGGGAAAACAAAAAGAGGATGCATTCAAAAGAAGAGACTGACATGTCCAAGCTAGGCTGAAATGGTTCCTGGCCACAGCCAGGGTGGGAGGAAAGCCTAGGAGGACTGTGTAGGGAAAGTCAGTGCTTATGGTACCCTCTGTGCTCCTCATCTGTGGTGGAATACATCTTTCCTGGTACCTTTTCCTTTGCCAAAGACAAGACAATATTGGTAAGGGAGGCACAGGAAAGGAAGGGGTGCTTGACACTATCCTACCAGGGGGAGGTTAAATTTGTATCCCATATTTCTTGCATGTGATATGGGAAGAACAATTCCTGCAAGCTCCCTGTATGTGCATCTATTCTCTGTTCTTCTCCAGGGGAAAAAAAAAAAATCCACCACTGTACAGTGGGAGAAGGAGCACAGATGAGGAAGCCATCCTTCTTGAGACCATAAATGAGTAAATAAAATAAAATAAATGATGCTAAGTGGGTATGCTTGATTTTAATACAAGAACAAGTGGACAGTGAAGAGTATTCTGAAGAACACAAAAACCCAAGAGAAACACTTTTCTCACTGCAGATAAAAAGGGCTAAATGTACCAACTGTACTGAGGGAAAAAAAGGTAGTAAAGGACAGACAGAGATGACACATTTGAGACAGCAATTAAGTATGTACATTTATGTTGTGATAAATTTTAGGATTACTTCTTACCTTAATTTCCTTCAGAATATCGCCATTATTAAGAGAGCTGTTGTATATATCTCCAAAAAATTTCCCCAACAACCTGTGGTTGCTTGAAATGGAGAGATCATTGCTACAGATTTTCTAGAGTTCCCACACAAGCATCAAGATAAATAACTACATACCTACATGTGTAGAAAGTGCTCGATAGCAGTCACTGTCAGAATGCGTTACTTTGTTCAAATTCATGTAACTTCTCCTGAAAATATGCATTAAGAAATATCATGAAAATCCAGACCAAGTTTGTACTCATAGTATGAATTCTGTATTTTGAACATCAGTAAGAAGAAAGTCCATGTTGAAAAAGATAGGAGGTACTCATCATCAAAAAGAGTAGTAGAAAACAAACATGACACAGATTTGTGTGGCAGAAAACAGTTATTACATTATGCACCAACTCATTGTTATGTCACATTTAAATGTTTACAGCCAACCTTTCCATAAGAATAAATTAGTCTTTTTCAACTGACTGCAACAGACCACGTCCAGGTTTGGAAGAAGCAGCCCTTGGAAGATATTGTGTTCCTTAAAGCAACGGTTAGCTGAAGGAGACATAATATAAATCTAACCTGAGAATGCCTAGCTAAGAAATGCATGAGTTAACATCATACACTAATTATCTCCTGGTTTTACTCATCAGCTCTGAGTAATAAACCTGAGAGAGAGAAGATTCTCTTTGGAAGCCTACACTGCTTCCTGTGTCACAGAAACTTCTCCCATAGAGTGCTGCAGGCCTCACTTTAAAGTGCACTGTTCTCAAAATTAGCTGTTTCACAACAAGCCTCCTAGGTAGAGAAATTAAGGACTGTGGTAACTTTTTACTTTGTAAATGTCCTCGTTTCAAGCCAAGGCTGATTGAAGTTTTTGACCAGTTAATAAAGGCCAAAGATTGCCCTCACTGCAATGGTTACATTATCTCACAGAAATTTTACTGAATCAAAATGCTTCTGGGAAAAATGTTTTCTGGGAAAAACTGTTTTAAAAAATACAAGATGAAGCTTTTATCCTGCTACAATACAGCACTAAGCCTTAAATGTTTTTCCCCCATCCATTGACCCCTTTTCCCTGGCTTCTCATCTTATAGGCAAAGTAGAAATATTGTCTGGAAAATTTATTGATATGGAATGTAACCAACATTTTTTGGCAAGTTGCTTAACCACAGGGCAGGTGATACCTCCTAGAATCCAGCTGAACACAGAGCTCCTGCACATAGTAGCCTTGTGTCAGTTTGCCTTCCCCCACTGGCTTTCATTACATTTCATCTCTGTGACTCCTGTATCTCACTCTCATTCTGGCATTTGGCCCTCGGGTACTGATGAGGCTATTAGTGGTTGCCCCAGGGGAGCAACTTCAGCAACTTCTGCAGGTGCCTGACTCGCCCAATTCGTTCTTCCATCTCACTTAACATGAGAGGCAGCCAAAGTACAGTAATTGTGTGTACCTAATGACAGTCTAAAGAATACACAGGTACCTTTTTTACAGTTTATCTTAAACGTGATGCTAGATAAAAGGTAGTGCTGCTAACAAAGTGATTTTTCTGATACAGATCACTAGGCTGTAATATCCTGCTTTAAGAAATATGTAGCATAACATTTCCACAAGATAACAGAGGAAAGGGAAAACAGTGGAGGTACAGTCAGGGGCTCAAAATTTTAGAGCACACAGCAACTGCACTGAGGATGACTTTGCCTCAGAGCATTCCAGTTTCCAATCCATTTTCCTGAAATAAAATTAACCAATCCTACTAGGAAGATATTGCAATATTTACTTTTTCATCTCTTAACTTTTCCAGTTTCCTTCCGTTCTTCTCGGATACTGAGCTCCCTGTGAAATCACTCTGTAACAATACCTGCTTTGCTGTGAATTCCTTCCAGAAATGTATGAACTTGTTAAACCAATCAGTTTAGTTACATCAGCCAAGGAAGCAGCTATGAACTGCTATTCTTTTTTGGCAAGCTCATCAACACGCCATCTCCTGTTCTTAACTCTTTTGTTTTCAGAACCATAATCTCTGACACATTTAATTCATCTCTTTTCAAAAGGATATAGCGTCTGTCAGCTCCCTCATCTGCTTTCTTTTTAAGTTCTTTCAACTTTAACATTTCCAATGGAGAAATTGTATCTGCTGAGAAACCAGCACTGGTCACAGATGGCTGTGGTTGGCTGCTGCTGGAGAAGGAAATTCAGCCTATATTGGAAGTGGAAGGGTGCTGGAAGAAAAGTTACCAAAACAAATTTTCATCTTCCTTCCTCCCTCATTTTCAGCTGTGAATTGATTTCTTTCTGTCATGAAGCTAGTTTGTTTCCTGGTGGAGTACCATTACCCCTGCTTTATTTTCTCTGTTATAATTTACATGTCCTGAGGTATAAAGTTTAACATCTGTTCTGCAGGCCATTTCCACACTAAGAGATGAGCCAGGCTTCTCACTTCGCCATTTCTTTCCATGATGAAATGGAACATGCTTAGAGGAAAGAGAACAGACAAAATACACTTGAAAAAGGAAAAGCTTCAGATGATAACAAACTTTCAACATGGATTATAACTTCCTTGTTCTTTAACAGAGTATTTTATACAGACTTGGGCAAGATCCTTTTTTATCCATAGCAACATACAAATAATAAGACAGACCAGGACACATGGGAAGATTCCTGCTGAGCCCTCATACACTTCTTGGTATGAGTCCGATTTTTTTTCTTCAGACCTTTCCATGAATTCTGCTGCTCAAGAAGTAGCATATTCTGCCTGCTCATCAACACTGGGCCAAAGACTGTTGCCTTTTTAATGCATGCCCAATAATCCCTTTAAGAAATTCTCAACATTCTCATTAGCATGTTGCTTTATACATTTAGTCTTCTAATTTTAAGTATAATGTTGTTGGATTGACAGATTGTATTTTGTTATATGCTAATCTTGTGCCAATTTCTTTACTTTCAAGTGTTCTTCTCCTGTCATCTAGTCATTAATGAATTTCATAGAGAGAAATACAGCAGTTCCTCTTGGCCTTCCTAATGAAAAAACCAAGCTCGCTGCATATTTTATATGTATAAACTCAGTTTTGTAAGATAGGCTCATCATTCCACCTGCTATCTCAATAATTAAGACATGAGATCACCATTAAACAGTGAAAACGTTTTGTAACTCAGTAATGGTTTAGAGTAACCTAATAAAAAAGTCAACTTTGTACTCTAGTGTATTACTATTTAACCTTGCATACACAGATACTGTGATCCTGCAGGATTTTAGTCCCCTGAGAGATGAGGCCCACAGAAGCAGATTTAGAAGGACAAGAAGTCTGTGAGCTGTCTACAAAGGGACAGAAATTTGGAGGAAAACAAGATGACTTCACAATGCTGCATTGAGATATAAGACCCTTACACAATCAAGGTGCAACCTGGTCCTCTGAACATCTCTCCATACCTCAGGAAGCTGTACAAGATCGTAAAATGTCTGAACACCATAGCATACACTCATATGGTATATGAAAGACTCTGGATCTTGGAAGAAGTTCAGGGTAGGGATATAGCCTGACCTGGACAACCCAATCTCCAAACCTGCTTGCCACCCATGAGAAAGCTGATGAGAAACACAGTGGAGCATTTGCATTACATGCCACATTCTAACATTTGTTTGTTGTTCACTACAGTCTATGAGCAAATGTTTTCAAGTAGCTCTCCTTTTTTTCTACCTAGCCCAAGCCACTTCACCTCCTCAAAACTGTGGCAATCTAGGTTAGCAATAAGAGGTTCCTCTCAGTCCCTCTTGGCTCCCTCCTCTCTGTCCATGGGCAGTGTATAACCAAGATGTTATAATTGCAAGATAATCAAGAGAGTAAGGCAAAGCAGACAACGATCACAAAAGAGAATAAGTGGAAGAGCTTACCCTTGGATTGAGCTCACCAGAAGATACCAAAAGAGGGGATCTCCAGAAGAGATCCTTCCCCTCTGGTAGCCAGCTCTTAAATAGGTCCAGGAGGGGTGGAGCCAGGCTCCACCCCTTCTGGCAGCTCAGGTGAATTGCCTTCACCTGTGCTCCTCTGGCTGACTCAAGGCTCACCTCAGGTGATTAATCAGAGGTTCAGGCCGTGACTCAGCAGTTCCCATACAGGCAGCACACTACTCAACTCAAGACACCGTAAGTTAAATGCATTAACACTGATATGTAAAGCAAAGAAACCCAGTAAGGAACATGGTGGGGGAGAGCAGAAATGCAAAAGTCAGATTTTTTTCCTTCACTCATCACTGAAAAGGTGTGAAGGTAGCTGGTACAGGTAACATCAGTGAGAGAAGCACAAATAAATGTTAAAAAATGTATAGCCTGAATGAGTTTTTTGGACAGTACGTAGAATGATGTCTTGCTAACTTGGCTGAACCTGATGAACATCTGTCTGACATATGTGAAAAACTGCCTGAAACAGTTTCATACACATTAGCAGTTACTTTTGAGAAGGACATCTGAGGACAGATGAGGGGAAAAGCCTAAGTACAGGCTCTATCCTTTAAAGTGGGGAAAGGACAGAGGAGTAAAAGCTCAGTAACTTCAAAAGGAAAAAACATCCTAGAAAAATAAATATGTTCTAAGTACCCGAACGAAAAACAAGCTGAATAACAGCCAGCATAGTGGTTTAAGGATGTTAGTGAAGGGAAGAAACAGCTGCATACAAGCAGCTGCATATTTGGACTTTGCTTAGGTTTTTGAATTTTCTTTTACAGAATTCTTATAAGCAAGTGCACGCACAAAAAAAATTTGGATATGCATAGGGTAGCCTGGATGCAAAAAATCAACAACAAAACCTGTAAAATTATATTAAAAGAGGAATTTAAAATGTGGCATGTCCACATGGAAGAGGTAGCAACAGCATTCTATGAAGACTCATCCTGAATCGGGACCTAATTTTCCCAGCATTTGTATTTATACCGTGGATGATGGAACACACAGCACCCTTGTTAAACCTGTGAATGACATGAAATGGAAAGTGTTGAAGATAGTCTTAGAGGCAGGATTGAAACTGAACTTGTTCTTGATAAATTGGAGAAATTCTGAGAACAGCTGGATGAACCTCAGTATGTGCAGAAACAATCAGCTGTCCAGCAGCCAGCAACAGCTGGCTCCATGGAAAATAATTCAGAAAATATCTAGGGAATACAGTAGGATGTTAAGATCAACAGCAGTCAACAGCGTCAGCGCAGTGTAAAAGACAA